AGCTGACCTCCAGGACGTGTGGGTTGACCAGTTCACCCCTGGAGGTCAGCGTGTGACCCACTGCACTTGCTCTCGGACGGGCCGCCACCTGGCCACGTTCACCCGTCGGCCTGGGTCGAGTCTGTACATACTGACTACTGGGTCTCCTCCAGTTACTGCGTCTGGTCAGGTAGCCACGTCTGGTCAGGTGTTTGCAGGGATTTTCAGTGGGATGTGGAGTTTCAGGGTGAAGCGGCCGCCGGGTTCTCCGCCTGTCTTCAAGGCACGTTACGTTGCTCGAGGCTTCAGTCAGCGACAGGGAGTTGACTTCTTCCAGACTTTCTCCCCTATCGCGAAGATGACCACTCTTCGGGTGCTGCTGCACTTCGCTGCTCAGCGTGACTACGAGCTACACTCTCTTGACTTCAGCACAGCCTTTCTACAGGGCAGCCTGCACGAGGAGATCTGGCTGCGCCGCCCACCTGGCTTCACTGGGTCGTTTCCTGCTGGTACCCAGTGGAGCCTCCGGCGGCCAGTCTACGGTCTCCGCCAGGCACCCCGTGAGTGGCACGACACACTGAGGACGACTCTTGCTGCTCTTGTGTTTGCTCCTTCCACTGCTGACTCGTCGCCGTTTCTTCGCACTGACACCACTCTGCCGTTGTTCTACGTTCTCGTGTACGTAGACGACTTAGTCTTTGCTACTGCTGACACTGAGGCACTCGCCCATGTGAAGTCGGAGCTGCAGAAGAGACAAACGTGCACAGACCTGGGTGAGCTCACATAACATCTTGGCTTGCGGATCACCCGGGACAGAGCACAGCGCACCATTATCTTGACTCAGTCACACATGGTGCAGAAGGTCCTTCAGCACTTCGGCTTCACGTACTCCTCGCCAGAGTCCACTCCTCTGCCTACCGGTCACTCGCTCTCAGCTCCACCTTCGAACGAGTCCATAGAGCCGAGTGGCCCGTATCCAGAGCTTGTGGGCTGCCTCATGTACCTAATGACTTGCACACGACCTGACCTCGCATACCCTCTCAGCCTTCTGGCTCGCTACGTGGCTCCCGGCAGGCACCGAAAGGTGCACTGGGATGCTGCGAAGAGGGTGTTGCGCTACTTGTGCAGTACATCGGGCATGGGTCTCATGCTTGGAGGACGGGCTCGAGTTGTCCTCACTGGTCACGCGGACGCCTCCTGGGTTGACGACTTGGCTACGCAGCGGTCGTCACAGGGTTACACATTCAGCCTTGGCTCCGGCTCTGTCTCTTGGCGATCTACCCGCACGTCTTCTGTTCTCAGCTCCAGTTGTGAGGCTGAGATCTACGCTGGGGCCATGGCTGCACAGGAGTTACCCTGGCTCACCTACCTGCTGACCGACTTGGGAGAGGCGCCTCATTCTCCTCCAATTCTGTACGTCGACAACAAGGCCAGGCTTGCCTTGTGCCAGGAGCACAGACTGGAGCACAGAACGAAGCACATCGCTCTGCGCTACTTCCTTGCTCGAGAGTTGCAGCAGCGTGTTCAGCTTCGCCTTGCTTACGTGGCCACTAGGGCCAACACTGCTGATATCTTTACCAAGGCACTTCAGCCTTGTGATCATCAACGTTTTTGTACTATGCTAGGTCTTGTGCCTACTTGGCCTCACTTGCTCACTTCTTGACTGTACTTGTACTGTGATCTCTATATATATACCTGCATGCTTACACTTGCTAGGTTGTGTTCACTGTATTGCTTGTTCTTCTTTATATAACTGTGCATGTGAACTTGCCTTGTGGCCATTTGCTTGTGCTCAGAATGCGTGGTGACGTCGTGATCTACCCTGAGCCTGCTTTGTCTTTCTTTACCGGTCTTGTGACCTCTTGTTCTCCCCCACTTTGCCTATGGGGGTGTGTCAAACATATATGCTATAGGATGTCTAGGTTGTAGTGGGGTAGTTCATATAGGGTACAACACTTTTAGGTTTCCTACTTGTACCCACCTGCTTGCTAATTCAGTTATTCCGTTCTTTACTATTCTGACATTGCTAGGGTATGATCACTGTACTGTTTGTTCTCCTTTATATTACTCTGCAAGTGAACTGGCCTTGTGGCCCTTTGCTTGTGCTCGGACTATGTGGTGACTTAGTGATCCACCCAGAGCTTGCTTTGCTTTTCTTGACTGGTCTTGTGACCACTTGTTCTCCCCCACTTTGCCTATGGGGGTATGTCGGAATGTTATAGTGCTTACATTTGTGTAGGCTATAGTGGGGTAGCCCATAAGGGGTACAAGCTAACTAGGGTTAGTACTTGTACCCAACTCTTTGCTAGTTCATCCATTCTCGTTCTTTGCTTTCAACATTGCACTTAATAATGAGCAACTCAATCCAGCCTAACACAAACAAATATAAGTTTACAAGTAATTACGCCATTTCTAGAAATGCTCGAGAACTTTGAGCTCGAAACGCCGCATATAAAGGAATCAGGGACATAGGGGCAATGCCATCTTGTTGTGTGCCTTTTTGAAAGGTCCAACAATATACATCGATATAGTTTACGCTCGTGCTAAAGTTCAGGTATTAGGGAACGTCGTTCCCAATTGGTTGCGCAAGGAAAAACATGGAGGCTTTGGAACTAACTTGAATTGAAGAGTGGTTGGAGGGCACTCTCTCAATATAGTTGTCAGGTTGAATTGTGTATCCCAGGAAGATATATTTATTGAATGGTATAGAAGAGTCAGAAGCGTGTATGTGTATGTGTGTGTGTGTGTGTATGTGTGTGTGTGTGTGTGTGTGAGAGAGAGAGAGAGAGAGAGGGAGAGTGAGTGAGTCAATGTGTGTGTATGTATGTGTGCGTTTGTATGTATGTATGTGCGTGTCTGTGTGCGTTGGCGTGCGTGCGTGTGTGCGTCTGCGTGTGCGTGTGTGCGTGTGCGTGCACGTCTGTGTGCGTGTGTGCGTGTGCATGTATGCGCGTGCATGCACGTCTATATGCGTGTCTGTGTGCGTGTGTGCGTGTGTGTGCGTGTGTGTGCATGTGTGTGCGTGTGTGTGTGTGTGTGTTTGGGCACGCGAGCGCGCGTGCGCTAAGAGTTAAGTGAAGGCTTGATTAGTTATTGTTTGTAGAGTGCGTATACATGTATGCTCTTGACAAAAACTATTCCACCAAGTAGAAGTGCGGTGTTTTCGCAAATGGCGTAAACCTTTCTGGTGTAAGTGAAGCGAACCTGGTGATGATTTTGAAGGTATCTTCCATCTTCTCTCCTATGGCAGTGTAAATATATTATACAGAAAAAAAAAAAATTGGTGGTATGAAGGAACATCAGGGATTGTAACTAGGTCACCAAGTCCAATCCCAAACGCGTTAGGAGTAACAGGGATCGCGAGAATATACTTGCGAACTGTCGACAACGCTGGCGAAGATCCAGTCAAGCACATCGCGCCGATAATTCAATCCACCGCGTCGCAGGTCCTGTGATTGGTGGCTGAGCAATGAATGATATAAATTGGGAGAATCTGGGAAAACTTCTAAAAAGGCGCTATCCATATGTTTCTCTCCCACCTAGATCCCTTATCACTCAGAACCACCGTTCATACATTTGCAACTTCTTACACACCGCATTGTACCCTGGTTTTATTGCGGTCAGCAAGTTTCTGTGAGAAGTTGCGACAAAATTGCACACCATGAGACATTTCTTTCTTCTTATGGCAACACGATTCTGGGGAATAGAAATTCACGTCTGATACCCAACTTTCAAGGGCTTGTCGTGCATAACCGCAAAAATAAAATAGAAAACGCTTCACACGTGGTTCGCTATCTGACATAGGCAATGTACGAGCAACCCGCTGGAGAAATAAAGCACAGCAGTGCTCGCAAAGAAGGCCTTGAAATACGTATGTTTTAGCAATCTCTCCACGAAACTGGAGCTTGACCCTTGTTAATCGAATTATTGGGCCTCCCATAATTCACGAAGCGCGATTGAGCTCGATTATATGGGCTGAACAGAACTTGAGCACACATGTGGTGGTCAAAGACTTCACCCCTGAAACTCCTCGTACATCCACAGCATATATTTCGAAGTCCCAACTCAGAATCTATCAGTCACCCAACTACTACCCTTTCCGCTTTCGAACCAACGCTTTTCGCTGACCCCGAGCTACTCATCTAAGCTTGTCACAATGTTTCTTGGATTCCTCCTCATGCTAGTCTTATCGTGTGGACCGCTGGGCAGCGAAGGCGCGCGTGGGCGGCGACTCCTACTAAGCGACAATGACGACAGCCATCAATGTAAGACGAGTTCATGACGCGAGGAAAACGAATATGCCGCGGGCCTGACGAATGAGTATTTCTTGCCGACCATGTCGTCCCTATCATAATAAAAGGTGTGAGTTGCTTGAAGCTCTGCTAATCTCAACTCCTCAAATTCTCTCTCCACATGTCCGCAGCTGGACTCGTTCACCAACCTTCATTCGCGGCGTCGATTCCCGCGCCTGGCTCCTCAGGCGACACGGGCAGTCCCTTGCTCGCCTCAAATGCCCCACTGCAACGCAAACTGCAGCAGCACGGGAAGAATCATCAGAAGCAGGACGAGGCGTTAACGAAGCAGACGGTCCGCGGAAGCAGACGGGAAATCCGCGGAAGCAGACGTGAAATCCGCGGAAGCAGACGGGAAATCCGCGGAAGCAGACGGGAAATCCATGGAGGCGGACCGGAAATCAGTGGAAATGGCAGCAACAGCAGAAGAAGTGGCAGCAACAGCAGAAGAAGCGGCAGCAACATCGGAAGAAGTAGCAGGGGCATGAGAATTCTGGGGCGGTGACGAAGCAGCCGGACGTGGAGCAGCCGGACGTGGAGCAGCCGGACGTGGAGCAGCCAGACGTGGAGCAGCCGGACGTGGAGCAGCCGGACGTGGAGCAGCCGGACGTGGAGCAGCCGGACGTGGAGCAGCCGGACGTGGAGCAGCCGGACAAAAAGCAGCCGGACGTGGAGCAGCCGGACGTGGAGCAGCCGGACGTGGAGCAGCCGGACGTGAAGCAGCCGGACATGGAGCAGCCGGACGCGGTGCCGAAGCAGGTGGACGGGCAGCAGACGGTGGTGCCAGAGAAGCAGGCCGACAGGCAGCAAACCGCGGTGCCGGAGAAGCAGGACGACGGGCAGCAGACCGTGGTGCCGGAGAAGCAGACGGACGAGCCGAAGACCGTGATGCCGGACCAGGCTGACGGGGAGAAGATCGTGGTGCCGGAGAAGAAGGCCGACGGGCAGCAGACTGTGGTGCCGGAGAAGCAGGCCGACGGGCAGCAGACCGTGGTGCCGGAGAAGCAGGCCGACGGGCAGCAGACTGTGGTGTCGGAGAAGCAGGCCGACGGGCAGCAGACCGTACTAGAGAAGCAGGCCGACGGGCAGCAGACCGTGGTGCCGGAGAAGCAGGCCGACGGGCAGCAGACCGTGGTGCCGGAGAAGCAGTCCGACGGGCAGCAGACCGTGGTGCCGGAGAAGCAGGCGGCAGACCGTGGTGTCGGACAAGCAGGCCGACGGGCAGCAGACCGTGGTGCTAGAGAAGCAGGCCGACGGGCAGCAGACCGTGGTGCCGGAGAAGCAGGCCGACGGGCAGCAGACCGCGGTGCCGGAGAAGCAGGCCGACGGGCAGCAGACCGTGGTGTCGGACAAGCAGGCCGACGGGCAGAAGACCGTGGTGTCGGACAAGCAGGCCGACGGGCAGAAGACCGTGGTGCCGGACAAGCAGGCCGACGAGCAGCAGACCGTGGTGCCGGAGAAGCAGGCCGACGGGCAGCAGACCGTGGTGCCGGACAAGCAGGCCGACGGGTAGCAGACCGCAGTGCTAGAGAAGCAGGCCGACGGGCAGCAGACAGTGGTGCCGGAGAAGCAGGCCGACGGGCAGCAGACCGTGGTGCTGGAGAAGCAGTCCGACGGGCAGGAGACCGTGGTGCCGGAGAAGCAGGCCGACGGGCAGCAGACCGCGGTGCCGGAGAAGCAGGCCGACGGGCAGAAGACCGTGGTGTCGGACAAGCAGGCCGACGGGCAGAAGATCGTGGTGCCGGACAAGCAGGCCGACGAGCAGCAGACCGTGGTGCCGGAGAAGCACGCCGACGGGCAGCAGACTGTGGTGGCGTAGCAGCCTGCGGCTGAGAAGACGGAAGCGCAGAAAATAGCGGAGGGCAAGGCGGCCCTCGAAGCGCAGATCCAGAAGCATGTCGTGGAGCAGGATGAGAAGTATGTAAAGGATCTGCTGGCTATACAGGCGGAACTGGAGAGGCAGGATCAGTGGCATGGTGTGCGTTTCGGTACAAGGAGAAGCCGAAGTGGAGAAATGCATGAGGGAGTAGCGTGGCTTTGTTTGCTTGTACTATGTACTTTGCTTGTTTGTATTATGCATGAGGTAGTAGCGTGGCTTTGTTTGCTTGTTTGTATATTTCGCTCCTGGCTAGCAAGTGTTGACATGGTGAAAAGAAACAATTTCAGGTCAAAAAGGTGGATGCTCTGCATTCTAACCATGACGAAAGAGAGAGTTCATGCACACCGGTCATAAAGGACTACCAAACATGCACAAACGACTCTACCAGGCTAGCAAAGGTGTTCCTTTCCCAACTTGTTTCAAAAACATTGTGCTAAGCTACAATGGTCCACTTATTATGAGGTACTCCACTTTGTTGAGAAATATAGGTCTCTTAGCATTTCTGAAATTCGCAGTTAGACTATACAGTTGTGAAACAGTACAATAGTGGGTCCCGAACTTGATGACGTCAGCATTCGGATTTAGCTGACTAGTCAAAGTAGCTCTAGGCCTAGGTCAACAGACAGCCACTTTCATTAGTGTCTACAGGTCAACACCCCTAGAGTGACGAATAGATACATTCGGCTACAGTATACGAACAGGTACTTTACTCTAGCTATATATTTTGTATGCTTGTCATTTTATAATATACCTGATACCTGATATCTGATTTCAGAGACATAGATCCTGAAACATATCACTACATGGGCTTTAATTCATACAAGTCTTCCGCTGCCAATACTTAGTCTTTAATCCAAGATACTACGATCCTGAAAATGGCTTCGTCCCTTAACCAATTCTACGGGTTTCCAACCCATTCCATCATGGTATGAGAGCAGTTTTGGATTAAGACAACTCTCAACTACGCTTCCAACTTACAACAATGGCTGCAGCAGCAGTCAATAATGGTGTACTCGCACAAGACCATCAACAAGCATATGAGCAAACTGCTATGAGCTTCGCCAAAGTGACCAAAATCAAGACGACAACACTATTTGACGGCAAGGATTTATATACCTGGAGTTTTGAATTCGAGCTTCTTGTGAAGGCTGCTGGCATATGGCACCTCTTCGATGGTTCTTCACCATTTCCTGCCAACGACACACCAATGCAACAGCAGAGATTCACGAGTGAGTCACTAACAGCATATACTATTTTGATTCGCAACTTGACAGCCATGGAGCAGCTGGGCATCCGATCGTTTAACACCGGCAACTCACCTGCTGAAGCCGCCTGGAGTTACCTGCAAAACCTCTACATGGGGAGAGATGCAATTTCTCAAAGCAATATTTTATCCCAGCTCGCCAACATCCAGATGCAGCCAGGCGAGAAAGCGTCAACATACATCAACAGGAGCAGAAATTTAAGGGATCAACTGCTGAAATTTGGCGGCTACTTTCCTAGAGAGATGTTTATTACAGTGCTACTTGCGGGTCTAGGACCAGAATGGAGACAATGCCGAACAGTTCTCCGAATGCAAGGGGACTTATCTGAAGGAGCTCTTTGTGCCGCTCTTCTGGCGGAGAAGAATGACTTGGACCTGCACCAATCAAGAAATCCACCATCAGAAATTGCAAGTTTCTACAGCAACAACCGACAACAAAGGATATTTTGCGACAATTGCAAGAAACCTGGGCATACCTCATCAACTTGTCGCTTCAAGATTCAGACTGAGTCACAGTCACCACTTCAGACTCCAACGCTTCACCAGCAACTTCAGCAAGTACAGCAACAACTACAGCCACTTCAGACACAAGTGCAACAGTCTCAACAATCACCACCACCAACTGCAGTTCCTGCAAAGACAAACCATAGTGTGGTTAGTTGCATGACTATGCTGCAAACCAAACTTGACAGCTCAAGCAACTGCACTAATATTTTCCCACACAGTTCAACCATACCTGCAGATTCATGGTTTCTTTATTCTTGCTGTAGACAACACATGTGTGGAGCAGACAATCCTTTCATCTTCAACCATCAGCCGCTTCAGTGCCCCTGCATCATTACAACAGCAAATAACACAGAGTTAACCGCTCATTCCACTGGCAACATACTGCTGAAATCTACTTCAACTGGCATTATCCTTGAAGTTACTAATATTCTTCTGGTTGAAGGCTTGGCCTTCAATCTCCTTTCAGCTTCTCAGTTGCTGGCCAAAAAGATTCATCTGCAAGGAGATATCAACAGCCATGAGTTTTTACTCAGCAAAGGACAACTACTATTGGGGAAAGCCATTCCTCACAATGGCGTACTCCTCTTACAGTTTAGCAGTCTTCAGGTTGAAGAAACACCTCCAGCAGCCACCGAGCTCCAAGAAACATTTCCAGCAGCTGCCACCATGTTCAGGAGTTCTGCAGCAGTCTCAGCTTCACCCGTAGCAGCCACGGTCTTCTCTATTGCAACAGAAAATGATTTGCAAGGAAGTCAATTTCCAATTCCAGCTCAGGAAATTTCTGCTGAAGACATACAGATGGAGGAAAATTCCTTAACTCGCCAATGTCTTCCTGTCTTCGATCCGTCTCCTCCACGCACTCCACGCGGCCCTGCCCTGCTGCCGCCCTAGTCGCGGCCCTGAACTAACCGCCTACTGCGGCCTTGCCTTGCACCCGCCCCTGGTAAGCACCCGCGCCGCCCGGCCGAGCCGCGCCGCCCTGCTGCGCCGCGCCGCCAGGAGCCGAGCCGCGCCGCCCTACTAAGCTGCACTGCCTGCGCAGCTCCTGCTGCTACTGCTGTTTCTGCTGCCACTGCTGCAACTGCCGCTATGGTTAGCCCTACTGTTCTTACCTTAGATGCAGAGGGGCATGCGGTTGACTTTGACGCGTGGGTTGACGACCTGCAGCTCTTTCTTCAGTGTGATTCTAAGGACGGAGTATCCCTTTTCGATCACACGTCCGGTGTCTCTCCTGCACCTGCTGCCACTGCTGACAGTACGATTCGCTCGCAGTGGACCACTCGCGACGCTGTTGCTCGCCTTGCTGTTCGTAGTCACCTGCCGTCTTGTGAGCGTGCGCACTTTGGCCAGTACAAGACTGCTAAGTCTTTGTATGACGCTGTCGTAGCGCGCTACTCCTCCCCTGCCACTGCTGCCCTCAGCTGCCTCATGCTGCCGTACCTGTTCCCTGACCTTGCCGTCTTTGCCACAGTCGCTGATCTCATTACTCACCTCCGCACTAGTGACGCCCGCTACCGTGCTGCTCTTCCCGCTGAGTTCTGTACCAAGAACCCTCCCCCCATGTACATCACCCTTTACTACCTAGTCACCCGCCTCCCTGACTCCCTTGCTTCAGTCAGGGACCACTTTCTCTCCCTTTGCCCCACCGAGCTTACTGTCGACCTGCTAGAGGAGCGCCTCACTACAGCTGAGAAGAGTATCGTTGCTGTAGGTGCTTCTAGCGGCGACCCTCGTGCCCCTTTCTTTGAGGGGTGTTCCCCTGTCCCCCTTCTCCCCTCTGTTGCTTCTGCTGCTGCTGTCGACCTCGTTGGCGCGGAGGTCGGGGCTGCGTCTGCTCCTAGTGGGAGGCACCGCAACAGCAAGGGCAAGGGGGGCAAGGGTGGTGGAGGGGACGGTGGGGGCGGCGGTGGAGACGGTGGGGGAGGAGGAGGGGGTGGCGTTGGAGGTGGGGGAGGTGGAGGGAGTGGGGGCTTCGGTGGCGGCGGTAGGGGTGGTGGAGGCAGCGGCAGCGGCGGTGGAGGCAGCGGCAGCGGTGGTGGAGGTGGCGGCGGCGGTGGTGCTGGTCGAGGTGGAGCCGCGCAGCGTGGAGGCTTTGGTGGTAGCCAGCGCCAGCAGCAGCCGCGTTCCCGTGAGACCCCGTCGGCTCAGCAGCTTCGTGAGTGGTACGATGGGCGTGGGAGGTCTGGGGGTGTTGGTCCCTGCACTTACGTTCTTCGCACCGGCGGGCGACGTGGGGAGACGTGCGGGCTGCCACACACTACGCAGCGCTGCTTCGGTCGCCTGACTGACGCCTGGCGCGCCCAGTTTCTTGACGCTGTTGAGCTCCCTCGCTGGGGTGATCTGCTTAAGCAGAATGTTGCTATCTTTGATCTTGATTTCGATGCTATCCTTGCTGCCATGTATGCTGCGACTGATAGTGCTGAGGGTGACTGTTACCTGTGTGTTCCGCCCGACCCGGGCATTGAGGCTGCTGCTCTAGGTGCTAGTGCGTCTGCTGCTCCAGGTGCTGGTGAGTCTGATCTCTCTGGTACTGCACCTACTGAGGCCTTGTACACTTTCACACTTGACTCTGGTGCTTCGCGCTCCTTCTTTCGCGACAGCACCACACTCACGCCGCTCAGTCGGCCTGTCGCAGTCTCCCTGGCTGACCCCTGTGGGGGCCCAGTCCTTGCGCACTCTTCCACGGTTCTACCGTGTCCTGCGGCCCCGTCGGGCTTGCTGTCGGGACTCCACCTCCCCTCGTTCTCTACGAACTTGGTGAGTGGAGCTGACCTCCAGGACGTGTGGGTTGACCAGTTCACCCCTGGAGATCAGCGTGTGACCCACTGCACTTGCTCTCGGACGGGCCGCCACCTGGCCACGTTCACCCGTCGGCCTGGGTCGAGTCTGTACATACTGACTACTGGGTCTCCTCCAGTTACTGCGTCTGGTCAGGTAGCCGCATCTGGTCAGGTGTTTGCAGGGATTTTCAGTGGGATGTGGATTTTCAGGGTGAAGCGGCCGCCGGGTTCTCCGCCTGTCTTCAAGGCACGTTACGTTGCTCGAGGCTTCAGTCAGCGACAGGGAGTTGACTTCTTCCAGACTTTCTCCCCTATCGCAAAGATGACCACTCTTCGGGTGCTGCTGCACTTCGCTGCTCAGCGTGACTACTAGCTACACTCTCTTGAATTCAGCACAGCCTTTCTACAGGGCAGCCTGCACGAGGAGATCTGGCTGCGCCGCCCACCTGGCTTCACTGGGTCGTTTCCTGCTGGTACCCAGTGGAGCCTCCGGCGGCCAGTCTACGGTCTCCGCCAGGCACCCCGTGAGTGGCACGACACACTGAGGACGACTCTTGCTGCTCTTGTGTTTGCTCCTTCCACTGCTGACTCGTCGCCGTTTCTTCGCACTGACACCACTCTGCCGTTGTTCTATGTTCTCGTGTACGTAGACGACTTAGTCTTTGCTACTGCTGACACTGAGGCACTCGCCCATGTGAAGTCGGAGGTGCAGAAGAGACACACGTGCACAGACCTGGGTGAGCTCACAAGCTATCTTGGCTTGCGGATCACCCGGGACAGAGCACAGCGCACCATTATCTTGACTCAGTCACACATGGTGCAGAAGGTCCTTCAGCACTTCGGCTTCACGTACTCCTCGCCAGAGTCCACTCCTCTGCCTACCGGTCACTCGCTCTCAGCTCCACCTTCGAACGAGTCCATAGAGCCGAGTGGCCTGTATCCAGAGCTTGTGGGCTGCCTCATGTACCTGATGACTTGCACACGACCTGACCTCGCATACCCTCTCAGTCTTCTGGCTCGCTACGTGGCTCCCGGCAGGCACCGAAAGGTGCACTGGGATGCTGCGAAGAGGGTGTTGCGCTACTTGTGCAGTACATCGGGCATGGGGCTCGTGCTTGGAGGACGGGCTCGAGTTGTCCTCACTGGTCACGCGGACGCCTCCTGGGTTGACGACTTGGCTACGCAGCGGTCGTCACAGGGTTACACATTCAGCCTTGGCTCCGGCTCTGTCTCTTGGCGATCTACCCGCACGTCTTCTGTTCTCAGCTCCAGTTGTGAGGCTGAGATCTACGCTGGGGCCATGGCTGCACAGGAGTTACCCTGGCTCACCTACAGCGGCTGGACATTCTGACTGGCATGGCACGGGGTGTCGAGTACCTCCACAGCTTTGGCATCGTGCATCGCGACATCAATCCTGCCAACGTCCTCATCACAGACAGCATGCAGGTGAGCTTGGTTGTGGCGTGGTTACCACGAACCTTGGCAAACGGAATCCAAATGATCTACCATGATTCCGTTTGCCACGAACTTTGTATTCAAATTAAAGTGTTCATGCTTTCAAGTTTATAGGCAAACTCTTCAGGTTTTGCTACAAACCCCGAGTGTTTGCCTTAAACTCAAAGTAATTCTAGTTGGAGGGATCATTTGAGGACCTCTTGCGACATTTCGCATTTGACAGTTGCAGTTCCAACTGTCCCACTTTTTTTTGTCGCGACACGGATTTCGCCAATTTCCCAGCCAGTCCACCCCACCCCAAAACCCACAGTACCGCAATGCTCCTCCCAAACCCAATCCGCGCTCTCACTTCCGTATTGCCGCATCTACGCTAAAAACTGAACCTAATTCTCTCGCGCTAGATTCAACCCACCGCACTCCAGCCCAAGTACTTGGCGGAAGAACTAACCAGTTGTATGAGATTTGTCCAACTGACCTAAAATGAGTAACCAGTCGTATGAGTATTGTCGTATGTTTGACCAGCCCAAAATGGTTTTGGCCAAAAATCATCTTGCTCAAGATGTCTCAGTCCTATGTCAATCTATGCAATCTTACTAGTGTATTATGCATGTGATTTTTGTACCTGTTATGGTTGAACTCAAAATGTCATTTCTTACCGCAACCATTATTTCAACCTTACTCACAAACCATGCTCTGTTGTGGATAGCACCACCACCCGCAGCCATTTGTCGTGCTCTGTTCCTCATCCCTCATGCTACAATGACTCTCATTTAAATCACCAGGCAAAGATTGCAGACTTTGGGCTGGTAAGGATGGGGGAGGGCACTAGTGCAAGCACGACGCGCGTCATGGGCACACCGGGCTATGTGGATCCAGCCTACTTCAGCACGTGCAAGGCCACCACTGCCAGCGATGTGTACAGGTGAGGCAGGAGAACCTTAGAGAGCTTCGCAAGAGTCCCTTGAAAACCATCGTAGGAATCCCTTATATAGCATAGCAGGATACCCTTAGAAATCACTGCAGGCAACCCTTAGAAATCATTGCAGGAGACACTTAGAAATCATTGCAGGACCCCCTGTCAATGCATTGCAGGAGACTCTTGGAAAGCATTGCAGGAGATCCTTAGAAAGAAAGAATTGCTGGATTTTCACATATATTGCAGTAGACCCTTAAAAGGCATTGCATGAGACTCTTAGAAAGCATTGCATGAGACTCTTAGAAAGCATCGCAGGAGACCCTTAGAAAGAATTGTAGGAGCCCTTTGAAATCATTGCACCAGTTAGGCTTGAGCATGTCGGCGAACACCTGTTCGGTTCGCCTCGAACGCGGCTTAAAATGTTTGGGGCGAACACGTTCGTGTTCAGTTCGGCGTCAAATCCCGAGCCGCGCCGAACGCGAACATGTTTGTGTTCGACAATGCCTACAACGAACACAAAGGTGTTCGTCGTGCGAATGTCCCGCGACCCCTTTTTTAGGTCGACGGGACAGTCAGTTTGAGCTCAATTTTGAGCTCAAACTCTGTCGACCTTGTAGAAAATGGATCGGTGAACTTAAGGCACAATAGGAAAAAGAAAATATCCTTACCAGGAAGATGGTACAGGTCTTAGAGACTATAGCAAGGTCCTTATCCAAGGATGAGTTCTAGTGAAGTGAGAAGCCACATATATGTGGCTGAACTCTTGAGGCTAGCTGCAGCACCTCAAAGTTGAGGGCAAGGCTAGCCAAGCTTGCCAAGCTAGCAACTGAGGCCTCGTGTTGCACATGTGGGCCTGGCTGGAACAACAGCTTACATGGCAGCATATGGCACACCATAGGGGCCAGCAAGGTGAGTATGGGATGAGTGGGTAGGTGGCAATGCCAACTGTGACCACACTCCACTGTGGGTGAGTATGGTGGATTGTGGACATGTCACGGTGAGCATAATGAGAATGGAAAGTGCAGCTGCTGATAGTTGAACCCACCACGACCTCTAAGACCAAATGTGAGAATCTACCCACTGGGACATACTTGTTGCACAACAGACCTAAGCGCCAGCACACTATCTACTACCACCACCTTAACACGTTTATGACCAACATTACTCTAAGCATAAGTAGTATCTATTTGATTACATAGTTTACGGATGGCGGCAAGGGGTAGAACCTGTGGTTTAGTGTTCAAACCAGCGTTTAACCACTAGGAACCAGATTTCCACAACATTTTCAGAAATCCGTCCATGCAATTCCATCACAGGAGGATCTAATGGCGGTAAAGATGTTTGCCAGGTTTGCCCAAATTCACTATCCGCATGATGTGACTATAATGAATGATGTGCTCGGGGCGAACACGAACATGTTTGCCACGAACACGTTGGCGTTCGCCTCGAGCACCAAGGTGTTCGCCTGTGTAAGCGAACGGCGAACACCTTTTTTTGCCACAGGTGTTCGGCGAACGCGAACATGTTCGTGTTCGCCTCTTGCTCATCCCTAGCAAGCACCAGTCCCCTTAGAACTATGATGGTAGATACACCCTTGGGGGGTTGGCGTATCACGTATATACGCCTGCGAGTATACAAAATACACAAATACGCTTAAAAAACACTCAAATACGCTGGGGCAGGCAGCCCATCGATAAAAAAAACAAAAAACAAAAAAAAACACACAAAAAAAACAGTCAAAATTGTGTTTGACATTTTGACGGCGAGAAACGAACCCTCAACCTTGCACAGCACCCAACTCCATTCTGCAATTCGAAATTCAAATTCCAACCCCTCCCACATCCCCCCAACCCAACCACATATGCAATTTTAAATTCAAAATCCAACCACTCCAGCATCCCCAACCACACAACACCCCTCTCAACCCCCCCAAAACCCAACCTTACCCCCTTTTCAGATCTTCAGCATCTCTTTCATAACCTGTTGGCCTTTCATTCCATCCTGCATTTCTCTTCAACTCTTGTCAAGATCTCTAGTCGTACCATAAGTACTTTCTCGCCATGGTGACTTCCACTCCCTCTTCTTCAAATGCAGCGTCTATCGCAGGGTCTAGTGGCGCCAACAAACCTGTTGAAGCCAACCCCACGCATCCCATCCTGAAGCACTTATTGATTCCCTTCCACACAAAAGGGTCGCCTAAGCTGTGCAAGTTATGCGCCCACAAGTTCGAAGGCGGAACCAGTCGCTGCGCAATGCACCTCGCCAAATGGGAAGAGCAGCCTAAACGTGATGTGCAGCTTTGCTAAAAGGTGCCCCAATGCAGTCCGCGATGCCGAGCGTGACATGTACGAGGAGAAGCTGGCTGGCCAGGAGTTGAAGCAGGGGGCGACTGCAGCCGCGCTCGATGACGCACTTGGCGCGGTCAGTGGCGGATCGGGGAAGAAAGGCAAGATCACCGATATTTTTGGCAATGAGGCGAAGTGCGACAAGGAGGCTGCGGATGACGCGATATGCCTCATGTTCGCGGGGTTGCATCTTCCGGAGAGCATCGCTGATGAGGAGCTCTTCCGCCATGCTGTCCGGTGCATTGCGCGCGCTGGACCCTCCTACGTCCCCCCCTAGAGGCGCTATGTTGGCGGGGCGGGCTTGCAAAAGTGTCGACAGCTTTTGGAGAGTGTGTTGACACCGGTTGCCGCGAGTTGGAGGCGGGATGGTGTCACGTCGGCGTCGGAGATGATGACCGACCGTTGTGGCCGGCCCCGAGTCAACGTCCTCCTCGTGAACGATTGTGCACCGGTTTTCGTGGAATCGGTGGACTGCCACATCGAAACGAAGACAGGCGGGTACATCGCCAGCATTCTCAGCCCCATCTTGGATAAGGTGGGGCCGGAGAATGTTGTTGCAGTATGCACGGATGGTGGCAGAGTGGCGGCCAGGAAAATCGCGACCATGTGGCCCCACAATGAGCACGTGCCGTGTGCCACGCACGTGCTCGACCTGTTGATGGAAGATGTGGGCAAGATGGGATGGGCAAAGGGGGTCGTGGAGAGGACGGGGGAGATGATTAACTATGTGCGGAACCACCACTTCACCTGTGGATTCATGAGGAAGGGGAAGGGGAAACAAGTGTTGAAGCCGGCAGGGACGAGATTCGGGACACAGTATATAGCTGTGTCCCGTCTCTGTGAGGTGCGGCGAGGGCTCACGCAGCTGGTGTTTAGCGATGAATGGAAGGAGTGGGCAACAGGGGGAAAGCGGGCAGCGGCAGAGGCGTTCAGGGGGAATGTGATGGATGAGGAGTGGTGGAAGGTGGCAGAATTTTTTGTTTCTCTGATTCTGCTGCCCTTCAAGGCCATGAGGGCTTACCATAGCTGCATTGGCATTGTCGGCCTATCATAGCTGCAATGGCATTGTCGGCCTACCATAGCTGCAGTGGCATTACCTGGAGGGCAGCTATGATAGGCCGACAGCCATTGCAGCACGGGAGGCGGTGAAAGCTGGAGGGATGAGCATGGTGCAGTGGTGGTCGGACGTGGCACAGCTCCGACTTCCTCGAGCTTGCAACCCTTGCATTCCGGGTGCTCACTCAGCCAGTGTCCGCGTCCTCCTGCGAGCGTAATTGGGCAGTGTGGGAAGGTGTGCACACCTCCCGACGCAACCGACTTGGGTCCAAGAAGTGCGGGGACCTGGTCTATGTTGCGCACAACTGGAACGTTGTGTGCAACTGGTACAACAAGGATAGGGGAAGCAGCAAGGTTGTGCCCGCGAACATCCCGGACTACCCTATGCCGCCCGGGTATAACGTGGATGAGGAGGAGGCGTACTTGCAGGGGGGAGAGGGGGAGGTGGATGAAGATGAAGTTCTGGCGGACGAGTACGGGGAAGGGGTAGTGGTGGAAAAGCCCAAGAAGTAGGCAGTGGGGAAGCTAGAGGGGGGTGGGGATGTATGACCAGAAATTGTATGACATTTGTATCTCTGAAACTTAATGCATAGATTATTGGGATGGGCCTTCACGGGCCCTGGCCCACCTCCCCTTGAACAGGGTTTTCTCCAACCTGCCCAGAAGAAGGTTTTTCCTGCCCGGTACAGCGTATATTCGCGTATTCCCAAATGAACGACTGCCTTGCAGGCGACCCTTACAAAGCATTGCAGGATCCTCTTAGAAAACATTGCAAAGGTCCCTTAGAAAGCATTGCAAGATCCCCTTACAAACCATTGCATGACTCCTCTAAAAACCATTGCAAGAGTCCCTCTGAGAGCATTGCAGGAGTCCCTTGGAAAGCATTGCAGGGGTCCCTTAAGCAGCGTTGTAACAGTTCCTAAGAAATCTTTGCAAGAGACCTCTAGAGAGCACTGTTCGAAACCCTTAGAAAGAATTGCAGGGGTCCTTTAGAGTCCCTTCATATCATTGCAGGAATCCCCTGGGAAGCATTTGAGGAGTCGATTAACCTGTGCACACTGGTGCCTAGATTCATGTAAAGTGCCTCCATTCCTGACTCTTCCTCTGCATCATGTGCCCTGATCATCGCGTGCCTTTAAACTCTTCTTTTCAGCTTTGGAGTGCTCATGCTGGTCGTGTTTACAGGACGCCCACCATTTGTGGAGGCTGACGAAGCGGGTCAGCTGGTCACAAAATGGGTAAGCACCCTATCTGTGAGACCAGGGTTTCCGTAATGGCGTCGTCTCAACAGTAGAAGGGAACACCCCTGTCCGCTTCCCAGTGGTTAGTTCTGGTACGTCTTACACACGTCTGGTTTTGCTAGTGGTCTTCTCAGGGTTTGCTGATCACTCTGTGGGTAAGAACTATTCTACATCTACACAAGAGATTATATAGCATCTTCTCAATTGCATTAAACAGGTATTCCGTCCACACCTTCTTGTTGACCTGGTCATCCAGTCCGTTTGTGATTTATCCCGCCCCTCAGGCGTCCGACTGCCTCTCCTCGGGGGACTTGGGCGGCCTCAAGCACCCCACCATGGACGCCCCTGCAGATGCTGTGATGCGTGTGGCTCAGCTCGCCCTCTCCTGCACCGCAGAGCGCACTGCAGCCCGCCCAAGCATGTCACACGTCGCCAACGAGCTGCAGGCCATCCGGGAGGAGGTGGTGGGGAAAGAGGAGCTGAGCGCGGCAGTAAAGGTGGATGCACAGGTCAAGGAGAAGGAGATTGTTGCCAGTGTGTTAAGCCTCGACGAACAGCTTCAATTTCTTGATGACAAGTTGGTTGTTGGATAAGATACTGGATATGTTTTAGTGTTTACTAGTACCAGTTTCCATTTGACAGCTGAGTATGAATGTTGAAATACGCTTCTAATACCGCAATCCCTGGGACAAGAGAGACCCTAGGGTCATATGATATGTACCGAAGCATCTGGATATAAGATTGTATCAAATTGAAGGCACTGTTTTCAAGCAAAGTTCCATTCGATCTAGGAGCCTTTTACTAGCAAAAGATGAGACGCACAGGTACCTGTCTTATAATAATAATAATAAATGGCAGATTGTTCAATAACGTGTTGGTTTTAATGTGCAAACTCGAGCTGGTCCACACACGCTGAATTAGAAAAAACGAAAATTTTCTTCAGCAGGCACGCACCCCGTATGACGTGTCATCCTTACAATGATTGGCAAAATTGGCCACTCCCAAACTTCCACCCTCGTTTGAGAAACCCATTTGTGTATGTGTGTGTGTGTGTGTGTGTGTGTGTGTGTGTGTGTGTGTGTGTGTGTGTGTATGTGTGTATGTGTGTGTGTGTGTGTATATGTGGATGTGTGTGTGTGTAGGTGTGTATGGGTGGGTGTGTATGTGTGTGTGTGTATGTGTGTGTGTGTGTGTGTGTGTGTGTGCACGCAATCGTGCGTGTGTGTGTGTGTGTGTGTGTGTGTGTGCACGCAATCGTGCGTGTGTGTGTGTGCACGCGATCGTGCGTGTGTGTGTGCACGCGATCGTGCGTGTGTGTGTGTGTGGCTTTTTTCTTTCTTTCTTTCTTTTCCTTGTGCAGGTTCTTAGCATTTGTAAGTTAACGATAAGATCCGAGGCCTAAGTTATGGACATAATATGATATTTTGCATTTGAATGCAATATTATTTACAATGTGTAGTCCGTTTTTGGAATGCTAAAAAAATGCGCAACCGCGAGTTTACATTGATAAAGGCTTATCACTCCAAAAAAATACTCCTCCAATCAGGCCCTCAGATTTGTTTGCAGGTGGCTGATTTGTCACCCTTGGTGCATAGAGTTTGGCTGATTGTTTAGTGTTGGTAAAAGAATAAACGCTGAAAATCCAGAGCCTCCATTGGAAAAAATCGTTGATTAAGCTGCATAGGTATGGAACACAAGCCTGGATGTATCCTATATATGGTGATATCCAGGCAGCACATCGAAATGTTATTATACGTAATGTCTCTACTAGGTATAAGCGCACTAGCTATGCTATGAACTGCAATGTGTAGGTGCAAGGAGGGAGGGAGGTTGCGATAAAGTGTAGAGGAGAGGTGGGTGGGGAGGGGGAAAGCGAGGGTTACTAAGGAGAGGGAGTGAATCATCCATGCGTCACAGGGGTGCCAGGAGCTGAACGTGTACTAGACAGGGTGGGAGGGGGAGGGGAAAACAAGTGAGAGGGATGGGAGCGTGGAAGAGAAGGGTGAAGAGGAGTAGGGTTGTGGAAGACGAAGAATGGAGCGTTTGCAAAAGTAGAGGAAGACAGGAAGCGAGGGACGGAAAAAGGCGACAACGTGGCAAGGAACATGTGCAGCGACAGCACGACGATTGAGCAGGCACTGCAATGATAAGCAGCGACAATAGGACGATGCGCAAGCGACAACTTTGCGATCAGCATGGAACAATTCGGAACAGGGGACAATGCAGCAATGAGCAGGCAACAATGCGTCAATGAGTAGGCGACAATGCAGGCATGCGCAGGGGACATCGCGACAATAAGGTGGAGCGATGGACAACGAGCTGGTTTTGGCGACGTGCAACCGCTGGCAACACTCAAACGCGTGCAACGGATATTCGCAGGCATCCAAGACGAGCAGGTGTGTGCAAAAAGATTGAGAAGGCAAGGAGACGAGCAGGCGCGGGCAGAAAGTACTCCTCGTGTCAATGCGTCGATACAGGAAATTTTCGTAGGAGCCGTATCGGGTACGGAACACTGCGGATCGAGTTGTTCGCCATTTTTATTTGCAAGTAAAATTATCGTAGTTCCAGCTTCGAGAAGACTCGTGGAACACACAGTTGACCCATGAGGTCGTCTATGCGCGATAACGGATACATATTCTTAACTTTCTGTTCATGCCGTTTTAATTTTACGCCATCATCTCCTCCTTTTTTCGCCCGCTCCAAAGGCGCCACGTCATCGCCTTTTTGCCCTTTCCGAATCTTTTCCTGATTGTTAGAACGATCCGCAGCTATTGGCAATTCTTGTTTTTTTTTTTTTATACTTCGGGGGTGCTGCACCGTTCCTTCCCTGCAACTCCGCACGTGTTTTTTTTTCATTTTCCAGCACGACAAAATTTGATGCCTTGCTGCGTCGCAAAAATCACACATTTCCGATTTTGCTGGCCGCTACTTCGCGTCGAATTTGTCAATATCGATCGGATCGGCAGTCATGGGGTTGCCGATCGCTCCGTCCCGAAATTCTTGTTTGGTATGCTGCGTTGTGTTTCGTGTTGACCCTTGGTCAACGCGTCGAACCTTTCGGCTGCACACACCATGTCCATGTAGCTGCTGTAATTCGCCGCGATAACCTGTCGACGAACTTCATCGATTGTGTTATAAACTGACTCCATCTACTGCGTGTACTGCGCCATACTGTCGAATAGTCGGTGCCAGTGTATCTGCTGCCGCACCATGTACGAACTAGCTCGAATTCTTGAGTTAAGGTTGTCCAAAACTGCACCCACGACCCTTCGCCTCGAATTTCACGACTGTAGTGTTGGATACAATAAAGAATTTATTATTGATTGTACTTGTCAACCTGCTGGCTTTTCAAGCTTTTTCAACTGCAGCTGAGGCAAAGGGCGAATCTCTAAAAGTGGAGTGCATTTTGTACCAATGGGAGCATGCTATGGGGAAAATGGTGGTGGTTTGAGTGGGAGGGGTGAAATCAGTTCAGGCCCCTCGATTTCGACCAATGGGGGCAAGGCACGGATGAAAACGTGGCATTCATAGTGGGAGGGTCGAAATGAACATTGACCAATGAGGTTGCAGTTCAATGTTCAGAACACTGATGTTCAGAACATCGCTGTTCAGAACGCCACTGTTCAAAGGAGCGGATTGGGTGCTGCTCGTGCAACTAGTTTATCACAGCTTGCATTTTGAGCGAGATCAGCACTGTACATCTGTAACATCCCAACTCAAGGGAGGCAGTTGCGCGTTGAGAAAAACAGGCACGTGACGAGTGACGGTTCGTGAAGCAGCTTGAAACTCGAGCTGCTCATGTCGCCAAATTTATTGATCGAGCAGTGAGCCGACTCACACATTTCCAACGGGCGCATCGAAGCCGTTTGCAGTGGCGAGAAATCTACCTCGCATTGGGACCGTTAATAAAGACTTGCGTGAGCATTTCAAAATGTTTCGTCGGCGAATCGTAGGCCCACCAAGTTTTGAAATAAAAAGGGGGGAAACGCGGTGTGCGCGTCACCGGGAAAAGGGCTTGCAATATTGTGGGAAAAGAATATGGTAGAGCAGGATGCACTAGATTTGGGATAATTTGTTTGTTCTTGTTTGTTTCAAAATATAACTTGAGTGAATCTCTTCCTCCCATGCCTGCTACAATAATGCTGCCACAATTCAGAAGTTTGACAACGCTGAGAAAGAGATCTCTACTACTACAACCTGACTGCAATTGCAGCTCTCTCTCTCAACGCTCGGACCCTTGAATAGGGCTGACCTATGTCAGGCACCCAGGGACCCTTGGGTGTGAGCCCGAGGAGAGGCTTGTAGTATCAACAAGGCAAATAGTAGCTCGAATAGTATGTTTCAAGAGTAACATGTACATCCATTCCAGTGCCGGGCCTCGTAACAGTGTCACTACAAGTTGAATTCTCATCGTGTCGTGCGTCGGGGTCGTGCATCCAATGGCATTTATATAATTCTCGAGTGTAGCTATGAATCGACTAGTGTTACTGCCTTTCGGGATCAGATCGAAGGCCTCCGGCAGCCTCGCTCGCGCTGCTTCGAGATTCACTGTAGCTGGTGCCGCTGTCGCAGGTTGAAATGTGGGTGTCACTGCCGCCACTGCTGCCATCACTGCTGCCGTCGTGATTACCGACTACTTCGCGAGCATCGCCTCGAGTCGTTGAAGAGTCGCGCTGCGGCGATTTCTTGTACGAAGATGTCGCCTTAACCTTTCCATGCCCGACATGCCTGTTCAGAAAAGCAGTTTGAGGGGGAGTGTAAAATTTATGCAGAACTGGTTTTACATACCAGAATCGGCGCTTTTGTCGCTACCACTGTGATTTTTTAAAGGCTGGGTTTCAACGGTTCTAGAATGTCAGAATATTATGCTCTAGCCTGTAGTGGGGTGCTCTATAGCGAGTACAACTCTTCTAGGGTTTTGCTATTTGTATCCCCATTCTTGCTAGTGCAACCCCTCTTCTTTCTTCTAAACTTTAACATAGAACTTTGTGTGCAAAGGTGCTCTGATCACCAAATGTGATGATCAAAAGATCGAGTTCATAATTTAATAATGAATCCTGGGTACAACCATGTGGCTATGTATATGCACGATACAAGGTAGGTAACCAGTATGTTATGTGAATGTTCCGTGCATAGGGAACCGTCAGGAACGGAACCTTCACGAATTCGGTGGAAGAAATTTGGTCGAAATCACACGCACGCAAAGTCACGTGGCACTAATCACACGCACGCGAATTCACGCGGCTGAAATCACACGCACGCAATGTCACGCAGCACTGCACGCAATCTAAATCGGTGCCATAACTAAAATAAATATAGTACAGCAACGATTATAAGAAAACGAGCATAAGCAAGCACAAGAAAATCGGAATAAGCAAGATAATGCAAGATAAAGTAATTATGGCTAAACGTAGCTGCTGTACTCTCACACCGGGCATCTGAGGAGATGAAGCAAAACAATGGGATGTGCCCTACAATCCAATCCGTGAGACGATCAACGGGTATAACGGGCAATGCCAGCCACTACTGCTTGAAGTCACCAGTAAAGGACGACGCTTCCAATCACTCGTGGAAAACAAATCATCCCATTCCG